TTCAGACAGTACGGTCTGGAGGTTACAGTGCAAAAACTTCACCGCGCCTAGCGGAAGCGTCAGAGTAAGTTTTGATAAGTAAGGCCATGTTGATTTGATTATATGGAGGGCATCGGTTTAGCTTAGAAAATATTTTTCTTGTTGTTCTTAGATGAACATGAAAGAATAGCTGGATCGTCCCGTGAATGCTTTCTCAAGCTAAACTGCAACTCTATGGTGAACATAGTTTACAAGATCTGTCTTGTCGTACTTGAACCGTTCAGAAAAATAAATAATAAGCTAAAGCCATGTGTAAATACATGTCGTTGTCGTAAGTACTGCTCTATGAATGGTTTGTGCTGTGCTATGTGCCATTGAAAGGTTGTCACGGTATCAACCAAGGTAAAGAAACGCGAAAACGCGACGGCTAGTGACACTAGACCATGGAGATGTACAATGATAACTATATATCGGAAAAGTTATTTAAACAGGATACGAGTACAATAGGTTAGTTGTAACACCAGGAAACATGGTATATGTTTAATGCTTCATGGACTTTGTTCTCAAACGACCGATAGGGAAATGCTGGCACCAACATCATCGGCGTGAAGCGCGGGAAACTGAACGGAACTTCAGACGACAAGATCGTGGCTGTGGGGGCGCATTACGACACCGTGTCCAACTCTCCAGGTAACAGGCAAATAAGTACCAAATTTGTCACTGGCCCCTCTTAGTCATGGCAGTTTTGCAAAAATACTTCGATTTGGATTCTCGAAATTGTTTCTAACTAAAATGTAGAGTGCAGCGTAGTTCCCATCATTAAGGATTTGTGAGCCATAAAAAAAAAGAAAAATACAAACCACTCCAGTTCTATAGGAATGTCCACGGTTGCAAAGTTAATAACTTCTTCTTTCTCTATTTTAATGTTTCTTGTCCCCGTTCCTGGTGTTTTATAATTAGTTCCCACTGAAAGACTTGTTTGAATTTGAAACCGTTTTGCAGGTGTTAATGACGATGGATCCGGCATGGCGGCCATGTTGGAAATCGCCAGGGTGATGACGTCATCTAACGAGCAGAACTTCACCACCATATTTGTGGCGTTTGACCACGAAGAAAGTTTGTTGATTAATATAATATTATTCATTTCTTGAGCATGGGCATCAGTTTAATGTTAAACGAAAAGTGGTAACTGGAAACGATTATTATCTTTGTAACTTTCCGTCACCAAATACATGTAAGATACATGATATGAATTTGTTCCTATTTCTTTTTAATTCAGATGCACCCCCCGCTCGTGTTGCTATCGGTACTCCATGTGAAACACCTCGGGGGTCAGACGACTTCGTCTGCTCCTGGCTCCTCCCTTTCCTCCGGTCTTCAGGACGTCCAGAATTCCAGGGAATCTTCATGTTGGAGACCATCATGAACTATGACCCACAACCGAACGTCCAAACAGTTCCTCAACCCCTAGCCTTCCCAAATGTGCGTATACGTATATAAAGTTATGTCATGTTCTATCATCCCAAGGACCGTATGTGCCCTAGCTTCATCATACCAAATATATCACCAGCAAATGTAACATGGCTCAATCACCTCCGCGTGAGCGAAGATATTACTCTCTGTATGTATGTCTGTGTGTGTGTTTGTCTGTGTTTCTAAATCATTCCACATATGCAAGTTATCATTATTGTCCTCGCTAATGGATCAATGTGTACTGTACACTCCCTGCAGATGTTCCCAAGTGTTCACCAAGAGTTGGTTGACTTGAATTTCTGGGGAGGTTTTCTGCTTTTGATCCACAAGCCGAACGAGACTGCGATGGTGTCCGCGTTTCAACACACCTGGGAGGAGAGGTCGAAATCTCCCGTGGCCGCTCCCGCCTTGAACATCAATGTTCCAGTGTCCGGTACGGAATGTTTTAGTGGCTACTGGACAGTATAGAATTGGCCAGGTTAGGCAGTATCCGCGCGCCATCGTAAGTTTGGCTGGTGAAAAAATATAACAATGCACGAAAAAGAGACGTCAAAAATAAACCAAAACCTGAATCTATCTTGTACAGTAGACAATACGATGTATTCTGATACATTTTGTGTATTATACTTGCTGTTTTTCTTGCGACTTTGCGAACACATCATAATGTTATCCACCGAAGAAGTGCTTTATGCTATACGACTATCAACTTTTTTTGAAGGTTAGTTTAGCCGTATTTTTTTTCTTGATAGGCAAACCAGATCAGCAGACGACTGAGACGTACTACGAATTCCTGGGCAGAAGCGACTGCTTGGCATTCTGGGTCCGAGACCCCTACTTCCGGTGCATCTTTGTGACAGACACAGGTTTGTAGATTTCATTCGAGAGCTTTTTTCCCCAAAGGTAACTAGGCAGCTGCATACTTTTTATGTCAACATCCACTATCCCACATTAAGAATCATTATGAGATAAGGTTGCTTCGGAAAAGGGTGTAGCCGTTAACCCCTGTACTTAATAAAGAACCCAACACACGTGTCGAGAATCCTAGTGTGCTTCGCTGAAAGTTCGTAAACAAACACCATCCATGGCCATAAACTACGGAAAAATCAGGACGAACTACTCTGACCAACTCTGTTATTGCCCAACACACTCGAGTGGTCATACGTTATGTTACTGTCCCCTCAGCTAATTACCGAGGAACCATGCGGCAGTGTTACCACAGCCCATGTGACGACGTCACCAGCATCACTGACGACAAGTTGACCTTCCTGGCCAAGGTCACGGACTCTGTACTGCAGACGACCATGAAGCTGGCTCAAGTCAACCTGGAGTCTTCCTCATCAGGTGAGCACTGAGGATATCATTACTGAAACTTAACACGGAATGTCATCTGTGTGGTAGTTACATGTTTAAAGTTAAAACTTTTGGTCCAACACAAAAAATTCTCTCACCTAGAGCTTTCGACCAGTCACTCTGGTCTTCCTCAGTAGACTGACCCAGTGAGGCTTGTCACGTGGCGCGCGCGAATGCCGAAATCAAATCAGGAAAAGAATAAAATGTGAAGATCGCAGGCGATCTCACCCCATTGAGGGGCCGAAATTGCAGGGGGGGGGGGCTAGATCGCTGTGACACCGGCCGTCTTGGGCCCTTCAAGGGCATAGACCACTATTTCCAGCCCCCATTGGAACACATAAAACATATAAGAAGTGAGCTGTCAAAAATCACCTATTTGAGTGCTCATCTATTGCAAACTCATATTGACAGGGTAGTCCGACCTCCAAGTTGTCCACTTAGTCCAAAAATCTCATATTTTAACCAGCGAAAATAAGTACGATCCATGGAAACACTGAGATCATGACCTCTGACCCCCTTGTACACCACAAAAAAAAAACATGGTGTTGTTTTTAGATCTGTACTAGGCAGCCAAAACAAGTCTATAAGCCAGCTTTTTTTAAACAAAAAATAACTCTCCAGCTGGACAAAGCGACCAATCATCCACACATACCAGAAAAAAGGATGTTTTCAGTTGGCTTAAATACGCTCATGAAAGGAGGCTCAGAATGGGCCTTCTGGGCAGGCGCAAAACCTTTGTCCTCAGTCTACCCTATCAATTGATAGGGTAGACTTTCGGGGGGAAAGAACGCCCGAATCTGGCGATTTTTAGATTTGTCGACCTTCCTGTGATTGAAATATTCGTCGACTGTGTGACGCCGGTTTTAAGTAGACACGATGTTTGGTCAAGGACGTTATACTTGTAGAATGTCCTTGGTTTGGTTGACGAGTCCGTTTTTTTTTAAATTCCAGATGCAACTCAGCAAACTAGTCAGGTACCCACATCAACTACTACTCGGTACACTGCGGACCAGACGACACAACGGCCAACGCTTCCAGGAACAACTGCTTCTCAGAACACCCCTAACCAGGAAGCACAAGGGCCAACTCTTCCAGGAACAACTGCTTCTCAGAACACCCCTAACCAGGAAGCACAAGGGCCAACTCTTCCAGGAACAACTGCTTCTCAGAACACCCCTAACCAGGAAGCACAAGGGCCAACTCTTCCAGGAACAACTGCTTCTCAGAACACCCCTAACCAGGAAGCACAAGGGCCAACTCTTCCAGGAACAACTGCTTCTCAGAACACCCCTAACCAGGAAGCACAAGGGCCAACTCTTCCAGAAACAACTGCTTATCAGAACACCACTAACCAGGGAGCACAAGGGCCAACTCTTCCAGGAAACAACTGCTTATCAGAACACCAC